CTTGGTGTAATTCCACTGCAGTTAGCGGAGTTATGAGGGAGAAAAGTTCAATGTTTAGCTTTTAAAATCTTGCTTTTAAAAATTGTAATCTGTCTGACCTTCCTCTTTGTCTCGCTTTGATAGATACTTATGTACCATAATGACACAGGAGCATATAGAAAGATATAGATTGTTGCAGTGACTGAAGTCAGAGCAGGGATTCTTTCCTGTGTTAGCAACTGCCATGTCTAAAGTAAATAAAAGCTTTATAGACTCTTCTGCTACCAGACAGTGAAACAGTGTGCTGAGCATCCCTGACTTTGGATCTATTCATGTAATAAACAAGTACTTACTTGGATAGCCTATTAAAAAGAATCCAAGCCAAACCAAAACTAACACCACCCCCACCCCCAAAAAAACCCAACAAAACAGCAATGACAATAAGAATTGTTGTAGTCTGACATCTGAGGAAGATCCTCTTTTACAAGGCTTTGTACTTCTGCAGCAGAATCTCTCTGTTCAAGGCAAGACCTCGCTGTCTGCTGATGGATTCTGCTGGGAGAGGTAGGAAATACTTTACAAACTGTAATTTCTCTTCCCTTTATTTTATATTGGAAAAAAAAAAAAGAAACAACTCACAACAAAAAAAACCCAAACCAATTTATCCAGAGTACACGAAACAGTATTTAATGCCTGTGGTACAAGAATATGGAGTTACTGGTCCCAGTCTCCAGTTCTGCAGTCTTGGCAGGCTTCCCTCTTTCTGCCAAATGCATTTAAATATGGAAGTACAACAACAACAAAAAGCCAGAGTTGTTTGAAAGAGTAACACACCATACTCACTCTGTTCTACCTAACAACCCATTCTACCTAACACCATACCCGCGCCATACCCACCCTGTTCTACCTAGCACCATATCCACATCATACCCACCTTGTTCTACCTAACACCATACCCACCCCATTCTACCCAACACCATACCCTTAGAGCGCAGTGTAGGGGAGAGGGACCTGGGGGTCCTGGTGGACGACAGGATGACCATGAGCCGACACTGTGCCCTTGTGGCCAAGAAGGCCAATGGCATCCTGGGGTGTATTAGAAGGGGGGTGGTTAGTAGGTCGAGAGAGGTCCTCCTTCCCCTCTACTCTACCCTGGTGAGACCTCATCTGGAATATTGTGTCCAGTTCTGGGCCCCTCAGTTTAAGAAGGACAGGGACCTGCTGGAGAGAGTCCAGCGCAGGGCAACTAAGATGATTAAGGGAGTGGAGCATCTCCCTTATGAGGAAAGACTGAGGGAGCTGGGTCTCTATAGTTTGGAGAAGAGGAGATTGAGGGGTGACCTTATTAGTGTATATAAATATATAAAGGGGGAGTGTCACGAGGATGGAGCCAGGCTCTTCTCAGTGGCAAACAATGATAGGACAAGGGGCAAGAGGTTCCACTTAAACTTGAGAAGAAACTTCTTCTCAGTGAGGGTGACAGAACACTGGAACAGGCTGCCCAGGGAGGTTGTGGAGTCTCCTTCTCTGGAGACATTCAAAACCTGCCTGGACACGTTCCTGTGTAACCTTATCTAGGTGTTCCTGCTCCGGCAGGGGGATTGGACTGGATGATCTTTTGAGGTCCCTTCCAATCTCTAGCATACTGTGATACTGTGATACCCGTTCTACCTAACAAGGAAAAATGCTTGTCTGAAAATGTAAAGAGAGCTCTTAGTGACTTTGAAGTATCCTCTGCTTTCCGAGCAGGGTTTCCACTTCACACTGACAAACCCCGTGACTGACAGTGGTGCCAGAGGGAATTCTGCAGATCCGCTTGGAAACGTCTCACTGAGGCACCGCAGGTGGGCAAGCTGCCTGGCTAATGCAGTGCTAGCAATCTCTGGTGCTTTTTAGCATGTGCATAAACCGAAATTATCAGCTGTTTCTAAACAGCCATTGCTCGTATCAACTGTGACTAGAATTTGTAATCATCAACTTGAATTCATTGCTGTCACAAGTGTGAAAAATCCTGCCGAGTCAAGGGCTTCTTTGGAAGTTGCTGAGAAAACAAAACAAAGAGGGAAAGAGTTTGGATTGTTCATTTGCATATCAATCCTCTAAAAGATTGCTCTTACAAAGCTGCTTTCCACCTCCTTCCTGGAAGTCTGCCTCGCATGTTGTGAACAAGAAAACTATTTTCCTAGAGATTACTGTATATTAATTGATTACAAATAAGGACAGTGAGGAGAACATCTGGTAAGGAACAGAGTGGTGGGTTCAGAACAGCAGGTGATTTAGCCATGTGTCTTCCATCAAAGCTAATATCCCTCCTGAAAATGCTGTAGTCCTTGTTTCCTTTCATTTTTCTCCTGCACCAGTTATAAATGGCCTTGGAAAAGTGGTGATGGATCCAGCTCTGTTCAGGGTTTTTTTCCTTCCTTTATCTATCCACCAGGCTGCTAGACTGTGCTGTGCCAGCCTGACAGTCATTTTGTGTATCCTATTATAAAATGTACAGTACTGCTCTAGAGCACAGTAAGCTCTCTTAAGAAAGCCAAGTCATTAGAAACAAACCATTTTGGAGGTTGACCCTGAATAGGAGAGAACACCGATCGATGAACGCACGCATACTGTCCATCTCGGATTACTGAAATGGCTTTTCTGAGTAACTGTAGGCTGGGTCAAACAGTTGTTGCCTGGCCACAAATTGTGCATACCAAATTTAAAGATGAAAAGGGCTTTATAGAGGATTGTAAGGTATGGGCAAAAATGAGATATGTTTTGAAAAGTAAGTTCCAGCTTTAACTACTGAGTACCCTCCGCTGCTTCAAGATTTGCCCCAAATTTCTTTTAAGAAGGCTTATTTTGGCAGTATGATTTAATACTGAAAACCTTAGTGGTTTCTGTTCAAAAACTTAGTGGTTTCTGTCCAAGACCCTCGAGTTGGAAGGCCTGTTTTGTGTCAGGATAGATTTTGAGGTCTGCATATTACTTTGTGTGCATCAAGACTTACTGTACTTTTATAATACCATTTAGCCAAGGATCTCAAAATACCAGATTAAAACTAAGTGAAATTGGTGAGGCATTTCGTGGCTACAGACTGTGGGAATCCTCTATGGCCCCAGAGATAAGGCTTCTAGAATAATGATGCTCAACTTCATTAAAATATATATTAGCAATGATAATGAGTGATCTATTTAAAATCCTGCTGTACAACACAAGAAATGTTAAGTAATCACTCTTAGAAAAGCCTTTCTAGGAGTTAACCATATCCAAAAAGATGGCTGATGATTCAAGATAGGAGTTTACTGCTCAATTTATAAAAAGAGGCAGAAAAAGCAGTTTTCCTAAAGTGTTAGCATGCATTCCTCCATGCCTGAACAGAGTTATAATATTTGTTCAATATATTTATAAAGAAGAGAGGAATCTGAATGCCTGCAACTGGAGGAGGGTACAAGCCTCTCATGCTGGTGTATGATGTGTCAGAGAAAAAGGGGTGGCTGCAGGATTAACCATTGCTTTTGACATAGAATATGAGTGATGATGTGGAGAGCGTGGTCAGCTCAGGAAGGCAGAAGGCTGGATAACAATATGTGTCTGTATGAGAAGCTGAACTAGACTCTTGTTAATCCTTTCTCAACATATTCACAGCAGCTAATTTTGCATAGCACTCAAATAATCACAGGCTGGTTTGGGTTGGAAAGAACCTTAAGATCATCCAGTTCCGACCCCCTGCCATGGACCAGGTTGCTCCAAGCCACATCCAACCTGGCCTTAAGCACTGTCAGGGATGGGGCAGCCACAGCTTCTCTGGGCACCCTGTGCCAGCGCCTCAGCACCCTCACAGGGAAGAGCTTCTGCCTTATATCTAACCTGAACTTCCCCTGTTTCACTTTGACCCCCATCACCCCTTGTCCTATCGCTACAGTCCTTGATGAAGAGTCCCTCTCCTTTGTAGCCCCCCTCACACACTGGAAACTGCTCTGAGGTCTCCACACAGCTTCTCTTCTCCAGGCTGAACAGCCCCAATGTTCTCAGCCTGTCTTTGTACGGGAGGTGCTCCAGCCCCTGAGCATCCTCGTGGCCTCCTCTGGACTTGCTCCAGCAGCTCTGTGTCCCCCTTATGTTGCAGACACCAGAACTGTGTGCATTACTCCAAGTGGGGTCATTTACTGGCATGGTCCCAGTTGTGTGAGTTGGATATATTTAATCAGGTTATTTACTCTTCTGTGTTGTATTATAAGTGGGTAGAAGTTGCTATCATGTAGTTGCAAGGGATATCATCATTTCTTCATGTCTACTCGTAGTTTGTTGGTTAAAGGCATTTTATTATGTGCTCTCTGTTTAGAAATGAAGTTTCTGCTGAAACAAATGTGGCAATCATCATATGCTATCACTGGTTTTTCAAACTGGGAGAGACTTAGCCAGACCTCTTTGGCTGTAGAAATTAAAGTATATGCAAACAGGAGATAACTCTGATGGTAATGCAAACTGACTGCATCTTCTTATCTGCAAGTGTGTCATAGTTAGACTGATTGTGCTGTATTGTACATTGTGAGTTATGACTTGGTAATGCACAAATGTGTGTGCCTTTACAGATCAATATATCATCTTTTCTGGTAAGTTGGAACTGGATTTGAAACAAAAGTTTCTCAAAATACAAACATTTCCTGATATTAAACAGTGTTTTGTTCTTCAGTCCTTTGGTTTGGATTCATATGGAAATAAGGTTTCATTGCAAATCCTGAATTCATACTGACCTAACATGAGGGCAAGGAGATATTTGTTCATAACTATAGATTTAAGCAGTGTTACCCTATGTGGGTTGAACAGTCTGGGTTTGATCTCTACTATGTATATATGTATTTATAAATAGATACATAAATGTGTGTATGTCAGCTTTTCTGTACCAGATTTAATGAACTGTAGATTACTTCATTTCACCAGAAAAGGATTCCCTGAATGATAGTATTGAAAATTTTATCCTGTAGCATCGGAATATTTATATTAATAGTAAAACTTTTCTCATTTTATTAAAGGAAAACCACTGCAGAAGAATAAAAATCCTAGGGGACTGTTACTACTGTGTATCAGGATTGACCCAGCCCAAAACAGATCATGCCCATTGCTGTGTGGAAATGGGGCTGGATATGATTGACACCATCACGTAAGTACTGTGAGCAGTGAACCCAGACAGGAGTGCTACAACATCTCCTTTGTGGCATTCAGAAGCATGTTCTCATTAAAGCAGCAGTGTCTGCTGTCGCTGCCCACCTAGCAATTCACACTGGTGCATTCAGGTCATAGGACACTGGTTTTGGGAAGGGCCATTCTAAACGTCGATTTTCCACTCCATTTAATCACTGTGAGAAAAAAAGTTCACAAGTGTGAGTGTGTAAAGGTGCATACATGTACAGATAAGGGGACAGAAAGATACCGGGAAATGATGAAACACTCCTATTGCCGTTTGCCACAAAGAAAGGAGTCCAATTTTCTTGTTCTACAGGGATTAAACACCGCTCATTTTGCATACCAGTACGTAAACTCAAAGCCAGTCCTGATGTATGCATGTTGTAGATGCGTTTGTATTCTCAAAATGATAGCTTGCTGATTTCTCCTTTCTGTATGTCATGTTTAAACCCGTAATTTATTCTGCTTTTCAGAAATGTAATGTGAAATTCACTTTGCTGATCAGTAGAATTTTTTTATGCTTGAGAGCTCTGCTCTGCATTGATCATTATTTTAGCAAGGCGGAAAATGTGCATGTGAGAGAACTGTGAATGAGCTTTCAGAGGGAGCTGGAGATCAATTTCATTACATAGGAAGGAAAGGATAAAGATGGGAAATATTTTCAGTGCTCTGTTGCTGTATGTGTGTGCACACATGTGTTTTATAGGAAGGCCATAGGAGGAAATGCACATCTCTTAATTCCGTATACAGGTAAATGCTGCTCAGCACAGTGCTGTTACATTTGGGATGAGCTTGCAAAGAGGTGTGTCACAGCAGGGGACCTAGCCTGTTCTATATTTGGAAGTGTTTGGCCACTGTTTCCTGTAGGCAGTTATGCTTTCTCTCTGTTGTCATCTGGACTGTTGGGAACGTGGAGCTGAGTCAAGGTTCTGCTTCCCTTCACTTAATCCCTAAGTTTTTGCATTATGGGCAGAGAAGACCTACATTGTCTGTGAAGGTGAATAGGCCATAGTGTAATCTCAATGTAAAAATAGACAGTGCACTATTAAATAAAGAAAAATAGTATAAAATAAGCAAACATAAGGTTTATGAATTCAAATTACGCATTTTTGATTTGGAGCGTTTCACCTTCTTCTTTCTAATAAAGCTTTTGCCACATCATATATTTCATCTTTAATTACCTAAGGTAATTGAAGGCTGATTCTTATTTCTAGCTCAATCCATGTGCTTTTATTATTATGTTCATTAATAAAATCTCTTGAGAGTGTGAAAGGTTGGGTAAATGAACCCATAGTCTCTCTCTCACTCAGTGCAGGTTCATCATCTTTGTAAACATTGTAAAATTGACAAAAGACTTTGTAATCTATGATACTATAAAATCCTAAAAGAATATCCGAAGTCTGCAAATCATGTATATGTGCATTCTTCCAGCAGCATATGGATACTCCATTTTTATGGAAGCCTTGGCTTTTATGAGCATAGTTAGATATACAGGCCCTGTATGCTTTTCCAAAGCCTTTTTCCCTTTTCTCATCCCTGAAAAGCAGTAGCTGATGCTCCCATCCTCTTTTAAACCTAGCATTAATCTTTAATTCATTAGTTGTGCTGTGTTTCATGTATACAAATAAGGTATTGGTATAAATGTCTGAACTTCCCTCTTTTGAATGTTTCAGTTTTACTGATATTAGAAATGAAATGTGTTCCCTTTTTATGTTATCATTCCTTGGTTGCTGTCATGATAACATAAACTTGAAAAGGGAAGGAATGAACTGGGACTGTTCAGCCTGGAGAAGAGAAGGTTCACAAGGAGTTTTATCAGTGCATGCAAATAACCGATGGGGGGGTGGAAAGAGGACAAATCCAAACTTTTCTCAATTGTATCAAGTTTCAGGGGAAGAAGAAGCGGGCACAAACTGAAATACAAGAAATTCCATTTAAATGTAAAAAACTTCTTTTACTGTGGTGGTGGTCAGATACTGGAGAGGTTGCACTGGAAGGTTGTGGCATGAGCATCCTTGGAGAGATTTAAAACCAAGCTGGATGCAGTCCTGGGCAACCTTCTATAGTTGCCTGGGCTCTGAGCAGGGGTGTTGGTCTAGATGGTTTCCAGAGGTCCCTTCCAGCAGCTCTGTGATTCCAAGTGGATGGGCTGTAGTGTCTAATATAAGCCATGTTTAGCCAGAGGTTATAATAGAAGAAAACTGATAATTGCAGGATATTTCTTTTTTAAAGAATTCATAAGTTAATAAGTTTTCAGTGTAGTTGGTGGTCAGAACAAGGTGGAGAAGAGGCAAGGCTATAAGAAAGTGCCAGATTTATTTAGGGTTCTTAAATGGCTGAAGACCTTTTCTGCATCCTTTGTACATAAGCACAATTAATTAATTGCCCTTTCTTTTTTTCCAATGAGGAATCAGTTGTGTGAGTAACGACTGTAAATCCCAGTCAGCGTATTTCTTCTGAGTTGTAAGAATGTGCTTGTTCTGCTTACATTAGAGGACAGGAGGATGGTGCATTCCAAGTACCATTGCCCTTGATGGCAGTACTATTTTTTTCTCTTACTGCAAGTGGAGCATCATCTGTTCAGATACTGTTGGATCCTGGGTTAGGTTCTTTTGTTGTCAGAAGCATGTGGCTAAGCCAACTGTATCGAGTGCTTCAAAGCAGAAAAATGGGTTCTGCTGGAGATCAGGAAAAAATTCTTCACTCCTTCACAGAGACCAAAGTTGGAATACGTGTTCCCCAGATTAATTGCTTTGTAATACACTGAGCAGATGAAAAGGAGAAGTGAAGAGCTTATGATGGTAAAGATGGAATGCACCATTTGATTTTCTATTGGTGTATTTATTAGGTGGTATTTAGCAGTCCCATGAGATGGAGAGTCACTTTGATTTTTAAACTTTCCCGTTTCAACCAGAGTTGGAAGCCAGCTGGTAGCCTTCTGAAAGCCTGTTCACTTCGCTGCAGAGAACAGGTCTTGGCACTGTAAATTTATGCTTGGAATTTGTCATCCCTAGTGACAGGTTTGTCATGTTACCTGGGATAAATAAATTAATCCAATCACTTGAGTTGTGATTCAGCTGATGGATCTGTCAGAAGTGCCTGTCCCAGAGGTATGCACCACCAAGATGTTCTTCTTCAAGGAAATCAAGGAAAAGAAACTTCTAGTGGCTGGTTGATGGGTCTGTGACCAAGTTGAACTTTATAATGAGCTCTTATAAATTGATGCTTTCTGTTCTCTTAGTATTCTGTGTAACTGTTATTTAAGTATCCTGTAATATGGTGCTGCACGTGAGTATCATCTGAGAATGTTGCCTCACTGCATTTAGATTGAGATTTTCAGGGTAATTTTAAAAGAACATTACCAAATACTTAAAATTTTCACAATTTCATCTGCTTGCTACAAAGCATTGTTTTTCAAGGGCGCAGTTAAAGTCAGACCAGAATCATTATGGAAGGATATAGCAAAACAGCAAAACAAATGGTGTTACATCCCATTTCAAAAGAATTTCTGCTGTCAGTGAGATTATTTCAATGTTTCCATACAGGCCAGGTGTTTGCTCTGCTTCAGGGTTACTTAAACCATTGTGGCAGTATTTAAGTGGGAGTTAAGTGTAGGATGCCACCGGTGTTGCTTTCATCGGGTGAGTTTTTACTGGCAGGTTTTTGTTGGTAATATAATTAAAATAGCCATGTTCATTAGTCCCTCTAATGTGCCAGATGTTGCTCTAATGTGCCAAATGTTCTCCTCACCTTCGTTTTGAACAGTGCATTAGGTGAAGTATTCTCTTCACCTTACTTAAATGGCTTGCCACATTTAAAGGTTCCACTCTACTTACTACAGTATCTTACCTTCTACATTTATTTGTTAGCAGATTGCAATGTAGAAAAGTTTTGCCCAGCTACCCAAGCTATCACCTCTCTCCTCAATAAACTGCCTAACTGTTCTCATTTAATTTAGCATTACGGGGTGATTTTATACATTCTTAATAGTTTGTCTTTCTGTACAGAGTACTTCATCAACTGACATAAGTTATATTTAAAAGTACTTTGGCTCAATTCAGAAATGTAACCTCTTAGGAGATGAAATGTGGTGAAATGAGGGAGTTACTTAAATGCACTCAATAGCACCACAGGGTGAAAAGTGGACTGTAATGTTTCCAATTAGAAATGAGGAGGGAATCTGGTCCGCCCCTCTGGTTTGGGTGTTCCTACTGCATATGGCCTTTGAAGAGGTCTGAGGTCAAAGTGTCCAGAAACCTTTGCTTCTCAAAATCCAGGTACGCCAGTGGGGTCTATCAGGTTTTCTCTATGTCACATAGGTGAGTTTATCCCATACGGATAATTCCACCAGTCATCCACGTATGTCCTTACAGATGGAATTTGGGCTTATTTTCCACCTGCACATTGTGATGCTCTTTGATTGCATGGGATATCGAGAAGGTTGATGCTTGAACTGTCTCCTTCCTATGGATTTGGTCCCTGGCTAATGAAAGGCACTGGGGAGGGGAGAGGTACTGCAGCAGCCAGTTTGTGAACTCCCAGGTGTAATGTCAAGTTTTCCTGTGTCATCTTTTGTCTGAGGAAGAGAACAGGAGCACTAACTTCTGGGATGTCAGCACTGTGCATAAGCCTTTCTGTGCTGTTGCAGAAAATGTGACAGAAAAATGGGGTATGGCCAGATTCCCTTTGGGAGCAAAAGAGACCTCCATGTTACTCACATTGGTGATGGCTGACATGGTATATACTTCGGCACATCACGGCTGCAGATTTCCTTACTTGACTTGAGCCCAGGTATCTTTTGCTCCTTGCCCCATATCTTGGCATCTTTATGTTAATGGTATTTAAACAAGTACCAGGTATACAAGAGGCAAATACAGTGACTACTATCAAAATGGTTGCAAAGTCCTTTGCCAAATCCAGTGAAGATGAACAATACTTAAAAAATAAATATATTAGTCAATGAGGATCAGGGAAAATCAGAGCCAGAGCCTCTGTTTAAGGTCTTTTCCTATTAAATATACTGGGAAATTTAAATTGAAAAGCCTAATGAAAATCAAGCCAGTTTCACTTATTCACTGATACTGTCTCTTTTTCAGCTGCAACCTCGCTGTGGAATGCCAGGTTGTCTGTACCAGAAAGAGCTGCAAAGATTTATTCAGTGTTATCTCTGCATGTAATATGTAAGGCTGTTAGCCTCTAGGCTCCCTTTCAGTGTTCACAAGTGAGTACAGGGTGTGAGTTATAGCATGTTCTGCATTCATTCAGAAATGGAGAAGCCTTCCTTACTGTGACACTAAAATTAAAAATGCTTTTAGGAATGACTTTCCAATGATTTCATCTTTTCCCAGCTACACAGTCTCTAAAGGTTAGATTTCATTTGCAGGTGTAAGTCCATAGTTACAGGTGGTTTATGTGCCACTCTTGCAGGAGCTTGAAAAGAGTGCTTATAATCACTCTGCATCTGCTCTTCTTGCACTGAGCTGTTGGTTTCATCATTTTCTTTGTCCTATACTCCTGTGACAGGGCAATTGAACCAATTAGAAAATAATAGAGTGGATTCATTGCTTATCCATTTGCCTTCTCAACTAGTACCTCTTCTTACCTCTTTTCCCACAGAAGCTCTAAAAGCATTTAAGTCTGTGCCCTTTCAGTCTCACTGTAGGAAATGATGCTTAGCTGAGCATACCATAAAGGTAAAGGCACAGTACAACTCTGTGTGATTTGTAGTGGTGATTAGTTGCAGTGGTTTTATAGCAGTAGCATAGAGTGAAAATATCAGTTGAAAAAAGTACCATGAAATACTAAAGAAGTATCATCCAAGAAGAACGACAGTCTGAGACACTGGGAGTGAAAGATGTTAGTTGTTAACTAGGTAAGTTTTTGTTTAGGTGGAATTTTAACTAAATGGTGAGCTTAGAGAACATCACAAATCTAAAGTATTCAATAGAAATAAGACAATAACCTTTTAAAAATCACAGAGAGACAATGTTGGGGTCCCTACATATTATTTCATATTATTTTTATTACAAGTGCAATGTTTTAGACTGTTACCTTGAGAACAAGATGCTGCAAACAAAAGGAGTGAGGGGGAAAAAAGCATTATTTTTATATTACAGATGGAAAAAAGAATAGAGGATAAAATTAAGTCACAATGAACTGTGGTAAAAGAGGAGAGAAATTAAATGCAAGTCTTGAGTAATTCAAGTTTATGTGTTGCTCACAAGACCAAACTTCTCCTTAGTGTTTTAATAGTAAACTGCTCCATGAAAACTCAGTTAGCCCATATAGGATCAAGCATGATGTTAATCTGACTGATGGGGGGTGCGATGGTGAAAAAGAATTAGAGGGAGAAAAATCCCCGAACCGTAAACCCAAAGCTAGGATACGGAGTAACATTGACAAAGGTTTTTGGTAATAAAAAAGAAGCCAGGTAGTCCATTTTAATACTGAGTTGAAAGCAGTCTGGAGTAAAGCTAGAATTCAAACATACTTGCTTACTGACATGTCAGGTTAAAATTCAGTCTAATAAGATTGTTTCAGAAGTCTTATTTTGATTCCAGCAATCACGCTGTGGTCACTTGTCATCCAGCTGCACTAAATATGCATTGGGAAACGGGAACCTTTATGACAAAGTAAAGTAAGCATATGTGAGTTGCAAGAAAATCTCAGATACAGGGAAGTGCAAAGTTGGCTGTTGCTGAGGTATTGGAGTTTCAGCCAGAAAGTTCTTTATCTCCCAGTAAGATATCAAAGTTTCTACAGGACTGTGATAGCAAAAGTGGCAAATAAAACCTAAAAGCTAGGGAAGTTCTATGACAAAGCCATTTATTATACTTGCTCCCCCCCCCCTTTTTTTTTCCTTGTCTTAATTTTATTAAATGCAATGAAACCTGAAAAGTAGTATTTTGATGCATAAGGTCAAGGAATCCAGATATACTGAGATTTAGGTTCAACAGTCATTAAAATATGACCAAGAAAAGTGTTTATTTGGAATTACACCTGGGAAACTAGTGAAGGAACAGTGCCTGAATATATCATTTTTCAAAGATCCTGTCTTTTTGAAAGAGTGTGTGTGTGTGTGTGTGTGTGTGTGTGTGTGTGTGTATATATATAAAATGTATACCTATATGTCTGAAAAGATTCATATTTTCACTTTGAGGAAGAGAGAGAGAAAGGAAATCAAGAGCAGTGTTGTTGCCTAAAGACTGACTTCATGATGCTTTCTATTCCAGATCTGTTGCAGAAGCCACAGAAGTTGATCTTAACATGAGAGTTGGATTGCATACAGGCAGGGTGCTCTGTGGGGTCCTGGGTCTCCGAAAATGGCAATATGATGTCTGGTCAAATGATGTGACTTTAGCCAATGTAATGGAAGCTGGAGGGTTGCCTGGGTAAGTCTGGAAAGAAAACATAGACCATGAAACAGAAACCTGTATAGGTGAAGAATTTAGTTCCTTTGAGGCACGTGCTACCCATAAGGGCAGTGTTCAGTAAGAGCAATTAATATATTATGTGTTTTATCCTATGAAATTCTCCAAATGATCTTGATATTTACATTCGTAATAGGCTAAAATAGAAGCAAAACATTTCCAAGCAAAATCCTCATTAGAAGCTGCCAAATATAAAGAGTAGGAATGAGGCAGGGCTAGGAGTGCAGCAGTGCTAGACTTTCACCATTTCATGTATAAAAGGAAAGACCTCTAGTTATTCCAGGAAATATTTTTCCTTGCACCTCTAAGCATGTGGAGGTGTGAGCCTTGCTCTTTTTACATGGTAATATTTCCAACAGTAGTAGCATGCTACAGAAAAACTACCTGTTTATGGACTCAGATACTGGTGGTGTGTGTGCAAGTGATACGGTAGCACATAAACCTGCAGCCAACCCATGGGGCATGTCCTGGAATTTAAGTACTCCTTGGACTCAAATGCACGCAGAGCACTTTCACAAAGGTGCATTGGTGTGCTTCTGTGTGCAACTCCCTTTTGGACTGGGACCTACCATCCTCTGTTGGTTTGCTGAACAGGGGGACAAAGAAACCTCTTAATTTTTGTGGTTGAGTGAATTTCTTTGTTACATACATCTGCCTCAGACGATTTTGTCAGTGGGTTTGGGATGATCCTTGCCTTAAGGCTTTCCAGCAAGCTAAAATCTGAATGCATGTTTAATAGAGGGAAGCAGTAATTGCTTTTCAGATATCTTCTGTGAGGACATTGCAAATGTAAGGAGCCTTTTGGGAGAAAATTTAAGGACAGTTTTCAGCATAATAAAACTCACCGATAGTGTCAAAGATGGCTGTGCTGCCAAAACAAAGCGAATTAAAAAGCTGCCTACAAAGCAGTAAGTAAATGAAAAAGTCAAAGCCATGAAGGGGAATAGAAAAAGGAGTTTCTGCTTAACGCATAGGAGGGATTCAGAGTGTGTAATCACAAGTTTCAAAGATCAGGATGTTTTTCCAAGCAGGCAGTGAGGTAAGCATGGAGGAGAGCCACACAATTTGGAAGGTGATGTGCAGACTTCCACTTACTATAAATCAGTAAATCTGCAAGTGTTTGGACAGTCAAGAATTATCTTTCTGTTCACAGCTTAAGTTTGGAAACTGCATGTAATGGAAATATTTCTATGTTCTATTTGGCTGAAAAGACAAAACAAAACTGTTTATACATCAAAATGGGATTTTGCACGTAATTTGACCTCTTTATGTCTTCATGATTTTCTCAACTAGTTCTTTACTTTAAGGGTGGTGAGGCACTGTGATGGGTTGCCCAGGGAAGCTGTGAATGCTCCATCCCTGGCAGTGTTCAAGACCAGGCTGGACAGAGCCTTGGGCGAGATGGTTTAGTGTGAGGTGTCCCTGCTCATGGCAAGGGGGTTGGAACTGAATGATCTTAAGGTCCTTTCCAACCCAAACCATTCTGTGATCCTATGATTCTGCTCAGGACTGTATTTCAGTAGCAACTTGATCATAATGTATCTTTGCTTTAAACAACGTCCTCTTTTTCCCTCCAGGAAAGTTCACATTACAAAGACCACCTTAGAGTGCCTAAATGGGGACTACGAGGTAGAACCAGGATATGGTCATGAAAGGAATAGTTTCTTGAAGAAGCATAATATCGAAACGTATTTTATTGTGCCATCCCATCGTAGGAAGGTAAGCTCCACACATTGCATTTTATTCTGTGGTGTTTCCATAATTTAGCAGCTGTTCTGTGTTATTCTGAAAGCAGAGGCAATACTGGTATTTCTGATTTCTAAAAGCTCTTCAGATTCTGTAATCATTCTATCAGAAATCACATAATGTTTACTGAAAAACGTCAATTCACTCTTCCCTTCCTTCTCCCTTCAAAAGAGTGTTTCAGAATAGTAATGCTCACAGCTTGGCTGGTTTTCTTTCTATTTATCTTTACTCTTTCATTCCCATATTCCCATTTTACTTAGGCTCTCTTAACCCTTTTTACATCACTTGCAATACTGGTGGCTCCTTTATGGGACCTAGAGGATTCCTGATGAATAGACACAGAAAAGGTAGTATTTACAGATATGGCATGCCCACAGCAGAAAAGCTAGCGAAATGAATTCAACAGTGATTGAACTAACATCCCCTGGATGTCCGGATATGCTGCTGTATGGCCAACCTGTACAACACAAGCCCTTTTATCCAGGACAGAGGAAGAGGCTGCTGCCAACCATCCTGCTTTTGAATGTAGATACCACCGTTCCATAGATCAGGTATTTATGATGAAGCTGAGTAAATTTTCTGGGATCATTGCAACAAATAATATGTCCTCTGTCCAGAACATGCATGTTCTTTTCTCCTGCCACACTGAGCTGCTTGCGACAGTTTCAATGTTGTCCTTGCTTGCTCTGTCACCTCAGGCTGCCACAGTGATTTTGGTCATCCCTTTCTTATCTGAGCTGCCTTTCCCTCCAACTTTTCTTAAGCTTCCCTCTCCCTTCAGCTTCTTCCTTTTGTCAGACCCCTGGAGATGTACTGGGCATAAGTCACCAGTACTGTTGAGGGACAATAATGTTTTCTGCTCTTTTCTTCTTTTTGGTGGAGAACAGAAAATGGAAAGTGTGGAAAGAATAAGGTAAGAGAAGATTTTAGCTCATTTGAGCAGGAACTTGATTTCTTAGATGTTACTCAGGATTTAGCCACCCTGATAGAGATGAATGTGACTCCTTGTTCTAACCATATATGAATATGAAGAACAGAGGCACAACAGTGCGATGGTAATGTCTAGAATCTCAGCATGCAGTGAAGGTGGTGACAGGGGTTTTCCAGCAAGTTCAGTTATAGTCACACCTTTCTTCCTCAGCCAGTTACTGAGGTTAGGGCAGCCTTTCGTTCTACTAAACTGTTATGACCTCAGTAGGAGTCTTGAAAGTCCATAATCATCAGGTAAACACATTCAGTTTGTTCTGGCCTTTTCCATGTCAAATGAGGCTTGTCTTAGAAGTTACCATCCATGACATGATGACAGGCCAAGAGGAACTTTATTGCTCTTTATCTCAGCCAGACAGCTTGGGATACAGATTTTTGCACCCTCATCTTCTGAGATTCTGCTCAAACAAATTTCATTCAAGGATTTGGTCTTTAGAGGGAAATCGTAATATCCAGTTCTGAAAGTATGAAACCAATACGGACCACGTTATAAAGTGATGTGAAAGGTCCATGCTTGGGGGTGTTAGCCAATGGGTGTTTGACCAAAATGCAACCAGGAAAAAATCATCTTGAATTCCGTACCTGCAGTCAGTTTCTTGGTCTGAATTTGCTGACTTCGGGAGTTTTTGTGGAAATGTTGGAAGTTCAGTCACTGAGGAATTTGATTCTGGGAGTGAAAGATCCTGTTCATTTACCCCAGGAAAGCTGCTGCAAGGGTGGGTGTTTTTTATACACTTCCTCTAAAGCATCTTATTATTAGAGAAATGGGATGTTCTCATTCACTGTGAAAATCCTGCAGTCTCATCTATAGCAGTTCTTCCATGAGTGTAGATGTTTAAATTTGGTTTTAGATAGTGTGAAAGAAAACAGGTGGGAAGGCAGTGGGCTGGATCTGCTTTGGCAGCCAGGGAGACAGTTTTCTGGTGGCTCTCTTAAAACCAGAATCAGTTTGTAGATTAACTAATCCCAGTAAAGAACAAAACATACGGGTGAGATGAATTAAGGCAGGTGTGTTACTTAATGCTGCCAGGTATGTTTGGTTTGGTTTTCTGTTGTTTTCACTTCTAAAGCATTATGTATAATTTCATTTCCCGTGTTATTATGTATCAAGTTGCATTTCATATTGAGAAGAGAAATATTTTAATTTTAGGAAATTGTTGATAGATTGGTGCACAGAGACGAGGAGAGAGAAAAGGGGATAAATATGGCTATTAGATAAAGAAACTGTGCTGTGTCAACTCAGCTGCATTTACCAGTGATTGAGGAACAGAACCTTGACATTCCCATATTAAAGCAAACCATGTCAATGCATGTTTAATGTGCAAGGATGAGAGCCTACTACTGCATGAGCACATGTTTCTTTGTCTTTGCAAGATTGCTGAGAAACTGCAGGTGAGAAATGACTGATGAGTTTGTCATCGGCTACACAAACCAAATGCCACCTCACCCAAGTGGTGCCACTGATGGGCTCGTGGAAGTGGCAGATGCTGCAGTACAGCTTGGCTGACTTCAGCTCTCCGACATGCATGAATGGTGTGTCAGCCAAACTGGCACAGAGAAACTCTTCTGAATTCTACTGGTCTTGACTGGCTTCTCCTCTGGGCTCACGGATCAATCAGCATGTCAGTTCACTGTTTCTTACAGTACACCACACATCTCCTGTCTTCATGTACTTGCATACCGATCACTGGCCCACGAGCTACATAATACTGTATTTACCTTCAGAATAAACACCTACTCTGATTCAGTCATTAACTCTTCAGAGACATTGAAACAGAAAGCTGCCCATGAAGCACAGACAAGATGGAGTTTCTCTAGGTGAATTCACATATCTGCTGGTTAAATGTTGTATTTCTTCCTCCAGAGCCTCAGTAGCTGAAATGCAGATATGTTTTTTAATTCTTTATGCATCATCTGACAATAATATGAACTGACTTTATCAGGTATGATGCCAAGAGGAATGAAAGTCAATTCTATGAGCAACAGATGGCCATGAATCTGTTGAATTTGGAAGGTAAATAGGCCCACTTAGGGTTTTTATAATTGTTATTCATTTATTTAGGAGACACATACCCCACATTCTCCCATATTTAGTCTGACAGGAAGATCTTTCATCAGAAATAACACCTAAACCAAGAATGAGAAACAATGTAAGATGATTCATTCATGTACTAGTTATGTTTTAAACATGAACACATTATAAAGCATTCCATTATTTTTTTAATGTTACTGAATCAGCCAACCACCACAATGTTGTGATCTGATCAGGTATGTTAGTTTGGTGTATAAGCTAACATGGGAGAATGCTTTTAAATGGCCACTGAGGGAATACTTTCATTTTTGTTTTGTTACAGGTTTTATTTTGGTAGATATTGTATTAGTCTATTATTATTATTAAGCAATAATTATGCACATTTTGCTGCATAAAGACCTTCTAAACAGACTTAAATAATTTATGTGATTTGCAAAGGCGTACAGAAAATTTTTAAATCAAATTCTTTTGCTGGCCATCATAGTTAACAATTTTTGCAAATACGCTTTTTTAATGCAATACAAAATGTTACAGTGCCCTGAGAAAGATTCTAGTTCTGAAAATACACATTTCTTTTAAGTGAAGTTTAATTATGGTTTCATGCTATTTTATTATTATTACTAATTATATTATACATCTATTATTTATATATGTTGCATATTATATATTATGTATTATTTATATTTATTATTTCTTACTTACAATTTATTTATTGTTATTGGTACTACAGCCTATAGTGATGTGGGCCAAAGCAAGATTAGAAAAGTTTGATTAATGTAACTAGCTACAAGGCTGACATGCACATGAATATCTTGGACTTTTCAAAACAGCTCTGATCCAGTTAGAAAGACAGATCTCTTTCTAACACATGAAATATTCATGATACCCTATGCTTTAAACACATGGACATTCTCTTAGTTTCAAAAGGTCCTGGCTTTCTGAAGTATTGTAAATATTACTGCATGTGGATGTTATATAAGGGCAAAAGATCTAGGCCAGATACATTAATATCGGAGCCCCTTACAAGAACTTTATAACTCTGCTTAGACCCACATACTGTCTGTTTCCATTAATGATTCCTCTCTAATCTACCTTACTAATCTTTTTCTGATTTTTAAGCTGTATGCTTAAAATTTAATTTAATAGTTTATTATTTATAATTAATATCTATTTTTATTTATATTTTAAATTATATTTGTATTTTAAATTTTTATTATTATTAATTTTTATTATTTATAATTAATATTTTAAAATTAATAGACTGGATCTGGTTTCATTAGAATCCTTTATTCTCTCATTGTCAGCACTGACACTGGTCATAGTCTCAGTTTTACAGCTTCTGTAGCTGTCTCCCAGAAGCACAGCAGAGGTAGTGAGCTTAGCTGGACTGTACTTCACTTCTGTGGTTGCTCTAGAAAATATGATTCTCCTGCAGTGTTACAGCTCCTAAGGTCTGGCCACAAACTTGGTGATAACTGGGTGATTTTGTATTTGGTTGTGCTCGCTTTTATTGCAACAGTTCTCTTTGATGCCATCTCTTTAGCTTTGAAAAGGCACAGACAATTAACCAAAATCCCTAAGGTACTTTTACAGATAGCCAAGCAGTGGTCGGAAGTGATCAAGTGTTTGTGAGGGGAATGTGTTAGGTTTTGCATTTACAGAAGTGAGCCTGCCGTCACTGTTACTCATTGCCAGATTAAGGTAACCAGCTGCACTAAGTAACTTTGCCAGCTCCAGAGCTAAGGCAAAGGCAAATAATGCTCTAGACTGTTGACAGGAAGCAGTAGACCTGTGTCCAGAAAAGGTGGTCATAAAACTTGTATGAATAGCACACAGTGACAGAAATCCGTGAAAAGTCCATGAAAACGAGTAATACATCTGTTTGCCCTTTGGAAACCAGCTGTTTCCCTGGAAAGGCTGACATTTCTCTTTCCTACCTTATCACATATATACA